GTGTAACCATAATTTCACATTAAGTAAAGAATGTCTAGTCTAAGCCATACCCACCACTTCCACATCAAAATCAATTACTCACTAAGCCTATACTTCAGACAGGAGGAAAGGAATTCTAGATGGAAATTCTGAGGTAGTTTAAAGAATACAGAATGACAAAAGTGATACATATAAAAATAAATCTTAACAAGCTTTAACTATTTAAGAATATAATATATTGATACAGTATTTAAAATAGATAGACTTAAAATACAGAAGCAAGACGTAGCAGTAGGAAATAAGATAAAGGAGACCTGGTGTTTACACAACGTTTTATTCCGACAGTATTAGTAGGGCAGCACTAGTGTATAAATTGATAAAAACACATATTGTTATAGGAACAATCACAACAGGTCATCTCATTCTGTGGTAATACACAACTCTATAATTTCACTTGCTTAACAAACGAAAAGTATACATTTCACACACGTTTCATATCTGACGTAGATTGTTAGATGAATCTGCTCCTGGAGTCACTCATGGATGCAAGCTAGTGGAGGCTTGCTCTGGACCACGCATCTGTGATCACCACAGCAGAGGGAAATGAATGTGATAACTTATAAACTGGCTCTTAAAGTTTCTGTCCATAAATGACATACATCACTCCTTCTCATATCTCATTGGCCAAAGCAAGTTACATGATGACAATTATTGTATTAATTTCAAATTAATAGAATAAATTACTATAGAACAATGAAAATAAACAATATCTACACAATAAGAGGTAATTTTCACAAACTTATTATTGATTGAAACCTTCAAGATGGTGGAGAAGTAAGACATGGAGATCACCTTCCTCCCCATAAATACGTCAGAAATACATCTACATGTGGAACAACTCCTACAGAACACCTACTGAACACTGGCAGAAGACCTCAGACCTCCCAAAAGGCAAGAAACTCTCCACGTACCTGGGTAGGGCAAAAGAAAAAAGAATAAACAGAGACAAAAGAATATGGATGGGACCTGCACCTCTGGGAGGAAGCTGTGAAGGAGGAAAAGTTTCCACACACTAGGAAGCCCCTTCGCGGGTGGAGACTGCGGGTGGCGGAGGGGTAAAGCTTCAGAGCCACGGAGGAGAGTACAGCAACAGGGGTGCGGAGGGCAAAGTGGAGAGATTCCCGCACAGAGGATCAGGGCCGACCGGCACTCACCAGCCCAAGAGGCTTGTCTGCTCACCCGCCGGGGCGGGTGGGGGCTGGGAGCTGAGGCTCGGGCTTCGGTCGGAGTGCAGGGAGAGGACTGGCCTTGGCGGTGTGAACACAGCCTGCAGGGGGTTAGTGCACCACGGCTAGCCAGGAGGGAGTCCGGGAAAAAGTCTGGACCTGCCTAAGAGACAAGAGACCATTGTTTTGGGGTGTGCGAGGAGAGGGGATTCAGAGCACCGCCTAAACAAGCTCCAGAGACAGGCGCAAGACGAGGTTATCAGCACAGACACCAGAGATGGGCATGAGATGCTAAGGCTGCTACTGCCGCCACCAAGAAGCCTGTGTGTGAGCACAGGTCACTACCCACACCTCCCTCCCGGGAGCCTGTGCAGCCCGCCACTGCCAGGGGCTCGTGATCCAGGGACAACTTCCCTGGGAGAACACACGGCATGCCTCAGGCTCTTGCAATGTCATGCCGGCCTCTACAGCTGCAGGCCCCCCGCATTATGCCTGAGTGAGCCAGAGCCCCTAATCAGCTGCTGCTTTAACCCCATCCTGGCTGGGGGAAGAACAGATGCTCTCAGGGGACCTACATGCAGAGGTGGGGCCAAATCCAAAGCTGAACCCCAGGAGCTATGTGAACAAAGAAGAGAAAGGGAATATCTCCCAGCAACCTCAGGAGCAGGGGATTAAATCTCCACAATCAACTTGATGTACAGTTCATCTGTGGAATACATGAATAGACAAAGAATCATCCAAAAATTGAGGTGGTGGACTTTGGGAGCAACTGTAGACTTGGGGTTTGTGTTCTGCAGCTAATTTGTTTCTGGTCTTATGTTTATCTTAGTTTAGTATTTAGAATTTATTTTCATTTGTAGATTTGTTTATTGATTTGGTTGCTCTCTTCCTTTTTTTATATATTTAGATATATATTTTTTCCTTTTACTTTTTGTGACTGTGTATGTGTATGCTTCTTCATGTGACTTTGTATAGCTTTGCTTTTACAATTTGTCCTATGGTTCTGTCTGTCCGTTTTTTTTTTTGAGTATAGTTTTTAGCGCTTATTATCATTGGTGGATTTGTTTTTGGGTATCGTTGCTCTCTTCCTTCTTTTTTTTATTACTTAAAATTTTTTTGTTTTTACTAAATTTTTTTATTTTAATAAAAATATTTTAATTAATTAATTAATTAATTAATTCTTTTCTCCCTTTTCTTCTAAGCTGTGTACCTGACAGGGTCTTGGTGCTCCAGCCGGGTGTCAGGGCTATGACTCTGAGGTGGGAGAGCTGAGTTCAGGACATTGTTCCACCAGAGACTTCTGGGCTCCATGTTATATCAAATGGCAAAAGCTCTCTCAGAGATCTCCATCTCAATGTGAAGACCCAGCTCCACTTAATGACCAACAAGCTACAGTGCTGGACATCCTATGCCAAACAACTAGCAACACATGAACACAACCCCACCCATTAGCAGAGAGGCTGCCTAAAATCATAATAAGGTCACAGACACCCCAAAACATACCACCGGACACGATCCTGCCACCAGAAAGACAAGATCCAGCCTCATCCACCAGAACACAGGCAACAGTGCACTCCACCAGGTAGCCTACAAAACCCACTGACCCAACCTTAGCCTCTGGGGGCAGACACCAAAAACAACAGAAACTGAACATGCAGCCTAAGAAAAGGTGACCCCAAACACAGTAAGTTAAGCAAATTGAAAGGACAGAGAGAAACACAACAGATAAAGGAGCAAAGTAAATACCTATCAGACCAAACAAATGAAGAGGAAATAGGCAGTCTACCTGAAAAAGAATTCAGAGTAATGATAGCAAAGATGATTCAGATCTTGGAAATAGAATGCAGAAAATACAAGAAACATTTAACAAGGATCTAGAAGAACTAAAGAGCAAACAAACAATCAGGAACAGCACAATAAATGAAATTAAAAATTCTCTATAAGGAATCAATAGCAGACTAACTGAGGCAGAAGGACGGATAAGTGACCTGGAAGATAAAATAGTGGAAATCACTACCACAACACAGAATAAAGAAAAAAGAATGATGAGAATTGAGGACAGTCTTTGAGACCTCTGGGAAAACATTAAATGCACCAACATTCGAATTATAGGGGTCCAAGAAGAAGACAAGAAAAAGAAAGGGTCTGAGAAATTTTTGAAGAGATTAGAGTTGAAAACTTCAGTAATATGGGAAAGGAAATAGTCAATCAAGTCCAGGAAGCACAGAGAGTCCCATACAGGATAAATCCAAGGAGAAACACACCAAGACACATATTAATCAAACTATCAAAAATTAAATACAAAGAAAAAATGTTAAAAGCAGCAGGGAAAATCAACAAATAATATACAGGAGAATCCCCATACGTTTAACAGCTAATCTTTCAGCAGAAACTCTGTAAGCCAGTAGGGAGTGGCAGGACATATTTAAAGTGATGAAAGGGAAAAACCTACAACCAAGATTACTCTACCCAGCAAGGAACTCATTCAGATTTGACTGAGAAATTAAAACCTTTACAGACAAGTAAAAACTAAGAAAATTCAGCAGCACCAAACCAGCTTTACTACAAATACTAAAGGAACTTCTCTAGGCAGTAAACACATAGAAGGAAAAGACCTATAATAACAAAACCCAAAACAATCAAGAAAATGGTAATAGGAACATACATATTGATAATTACCTTAAATGTAAATGGATTAAATGCTCCCACCAAAGTACACAGACTGGCTGAATGGATACAAAAACAAGACCTATATATATGCTGTCTACAAGAGACCCACTTCAGACCTAGAGACACATACAGACTGAAAGTCAGGGGATGGAAAAAGATATTCCATGCAAATGGAAATAAAAAGAAAGCTGGAGTAGCAATTCTCATATCAGACAAAATAGATTTTAAAATAAAGACTATTACAGGAGACAAAGAAGGACAAAACATAATGATCAACGGATCAATTCAAGAGGAAGATATAACAATTGTAAATATTTATGCACCCAACATAGGAGCACCTCAATACATAAGGCAAACACTACGAGCCATAAAAAGGGAAATCAAGTAACAAAGTCATTGTAGGGGAATTTAACACCCCACTTTCACCAATGAACAGATCATCCAAAATGAAAATAAATAAGGAAACACGAGCTTTAAATGATACATTAAACAAGATGGACTTAATCAATATTTATAGGACATTCTATCCAAAAACAATGTAATACGCTTTCTTCTCAAGTGCTCATGGAACATTCTCCAGGATAGATCATATCTTGGGTCACAAATCAAGCCTTGGTAAATTTAAGAAAATTGAAACCATAACAAGTATCTTTTCTGACCACAATGCTATGATATTGGAAATCAATTACAGGAAAAAATATGTAAAAAATACAAAGACATGGAGGCTAAACAATACACTACTAAATAACCAAGAGATCACTGAAGAAATCAAAGATGAAATCAAGAAATACCTAGAAACAAATGACAGTGAAAACACAATGCCCCCAAACCTATGGGATGCATCAAAAGCAGTTCTAAGAGGGAAGTTGATAGCAATACAATCCTACCTCAAGAAACAAGAAACATCTCAAATAAACAACCTAAGCTTACACCTAAAACAATTAAAACCCCCGAAGTTAGTAGAAGTAAAGAAATCATAAAGATCAGATCAGAAATAAATGAAAAGGAAAGGAAACAATAGCAAAGATTAATAAAACTAAAGCTGGTTCTTTCAGAAGATAAACAAAACAGATAAACAATTAGCCAGATTCATCAAGAAAAAAGGGAGAAGACTCAAAACAACAAAAATAGAAATGAAAAACCAGAAGTAACAACTGACACTGCAGAAATACAAAGGATCATGTGAGATTACTACAAGCAAGTATAGCCAATAAAATCAACAACCTGGAAGCAATGGCCGAATTTGTAGAATAGCACAATCATCCGAGGCTGAACTAAGAAGAAGTAAAAAATATAAACAGACCAATCACAAGCACTGAAATTGAGCCTGTGATTGAAAATCGTCCAACAAACAAAAGCCCAGGACCAGATGGCTTCACAGGTGAATTCTATCAAACATTTAGAGAAGAGCTAAAACCTATCCTTCTCAAACTCTTCCAAAATATAGCAGAGGCGGGAACATTCCCAAAGTCATTCTACGAGGCCACCATCACCCTGATACCAAAACCAAAAAAATGTCACAAAGGAAGAAACCTACAGGTCATTATCACTGATGAACATAGATGCAAAATCCTCAACATAATGCTAGCAATCTGAATGCAGAAGCACACTAAAAGGATCATACACCATGGTCAAGTGGGGTTTATCCCAGAAATGCAAAGATTCTTCAATATATGCAAATCAATCAATGTGATACACCGTATTAACAAATTGAAGGAGAAAAACCATATGATCATCTCAATAGATGCAGAGAAAGCTTTTGACAAAATTCAACACCCATTTACAATAAAAACCCTCCAGAAAGTAGGCATAGAGGGAACTTACCTCAACATAATAAAGGCCATATATGACAAACCCACAGCCAACATTGTTCTCAATGGTGAAAAACTGAAACCATTTCCTCCAAGATCAGGAAAAAGACAAGGTTGTCCATTCTCAGCACTATTATTTAACATAGTTTTGGAAGTTTTAGCCACAGCAATCAGAGAAGAAAAAAGAATAAAAGGAGTCCAAATTGGAAAAGAAGAAATAAAGCTGTCACTGTTTGCAGATGACATGATACTATACATAGAGAATCCTAAAGATGCTACCAGAAAACTACTAGAGTTTGGTAAAGTAGCAGGATACAAAATTAATGCACTGAAATCTCTGGCATTCCTATACACTAATGAAAAAAAAATCTGAAAGAGAAATTAAGGAAACACTCCCATTTACTATTGCAATGAAAAGAATAAAATATCTAGGAATAAACCTACGTAAGGAGACAAAAGACCTGTGTGATGAAAACTGCAAGACACTGATAAAAGAAATTCAAGATGATACAAACAGATGGAGAGATATACTACATTCTTGGATTGGAAGAATCAACATTGTGAAAATGACTCTACTACCCAAAGCAATCTACAGATTCAATGCAAGCCCTATCAAACTACCAATGGTTTTTTCACAGAACTAGAAAAAAAAAGTTCACAATTTATATGGAAAAAGAAAATACCCTGAATAGCCAAAGCAATCTTGAGAAAGAAAAACAGAGCTGGAGGAAATCAGGCTCCCTGATTTCAGACTATACTACAAAGCTACAGTAATCAAGACACTATGGTACTGGCACAAGAACAGAAATATAGGTCAATGGAACAGGATAGAAAGCCCAGAGATAAACCCACGCACATATGGTCACCTTATCTTTGATAAAAGAGGCAAGAATATACAATGGAGAAAAGACAGCCTCTTCGATAAGTGGTGCTGGGAAAACTGGACAGCTACATGTAAAAGAATGAAATTAGAACACTCCCTAACACCATACACAAAAATAAACTCAAAATGGATTAAAGACCTAAATGTAAGGCCAGACACTATAAAACTCTTAGAGGAAAACATAGGCAGGACATCTATGACATAAATCACAGCAAGATCCTTTTTGACCCACCTCCTAGAGAAATGGAACTAAAAACAAAAAAGCAAGAAATGGGACCTAATGAAACTTAAAAGCTTTTGCACAGCAAAGGAAACCGTAAACAAGACTAAAGGATAACTCTCAGAATGGAAGAAAATATTTGCAAATGAAGGAACTGACAAAGGATTAAGCTCCAAAATTTACAAGCAGCCCATTCCAGCTCAATATAAAAAAAAATAAATAATCCAATCCAAAAATGGGCAGAAGACCTAAATAAACATTTCTTCAAAGCAGATATACAGATTGCCAATAAACACATGAAAGGATGCTCAACATCACTAGTCATTAGAGAAATTCAAATCAGAACTACAATGAGGTATCACCTCATACCAGTCAGAATGGCCATCATCAAAATTTCTACAAATAATAAATGTTGGAGAGGGCGTGAAGAAAAGGGAACCATCTTGCACTGTTGGTGGGAATATAAATTGATACAGCCACTACAGAGAACAGTATGGAGGTTCCTTTCAAAAATAAAAATAGAGCTACCATACGACCCAGCAATCCCACTACTGGGCATTTACCCTGGGAAAACCATAATTCAAAAAGAGTCATGTAGCACAATGTTCATTACAGCTCTACTTACAATAGCTAGCACATGGAAGCATCCTAAGTGACCTTCGACAGAGGAGTGGATAAAGAAAATGTGGCACATATATACTGTGGAATATTACTCAGCCAGAAAAATAATCGAAATTGAGTTATTTTTAGTGAGGTCAGTGGACCTAGAGTCTGTCATACAGAGTGAAGTAAGTCTGAAGGAGAGAAACAAATACCATATGTTAGCACATGTATATTGAATCTAAAAAAAAAAAGGTTCTGTAGAACCTAGGGGTAGTAGAGAAATAAAGACGCAGATGTAGAGAATGGACTTGAGGATATGGGGAGGAAGAAGGGTAAGGTGGGACGAAATGAGAGAGTGACATGGAGATATATACACTACTGAATGTAAAATAGATAGGTAGTGGGAAGCAGCCACATAACACAGGGATACCAGCTCGGTGCTTTGTGACCACCTAGAGGGGTTGGATAGGGAGCGTGGGAGGGAGATGCAATGGGAGGATCTATGGGATTATATGTATGGCTGATTCACTTTATTATAAAGCAGAAACTAACATACCATTGTAAAGCAATTATACTCCAATAAAGATGTTAAAAAATAATAATAAAATATAATAATTGGTTTATTCTTTCAAATAAAAAAAAAATTTTTTACAAACATTATTGACTAAGACAAACAGGACATGAAGTAATGTACAGTGTGATTAAATGAGAAAAACAGGCAAAACTAAGTTATGTTTAGTTATGGATACATAGGAAATATAATTTTAAAGAAAATTAAAGAGATTATTGTCAACGATTTTACATAAATCTTACATCCAAATCAGTTGCAGATGACTGTTATAATCATGTATAAGTAGCTGGGAACTTCCACAGTGCTAACCATAAAAACTGCTACGGTTCATTGTTTTAATTTATTTGAACTATGCATTTATATTTTTCTGGATTGTTCTTTACATTAGTATTATACCATACATTATCTATGTATGATAGAATCATAATAAAATATGCATAACATAATTTAGAAACACATGAATTCTTCCCATAATGAAACATATCTAGTAATTATGATTCAACTCATGAGAAACTAAAATCTTGAAAAATATTTAGAGATTATTATTTTTCCAGTGGGCAAACAGAACCTCAGATAGTCTCACTGAATTTTCTGGCAGTGTCCTTTGAACTTGAAAGATATTTTGTATCTCTGAACTTGTTTTGTGATTTATACCATCTAGATGATAAGGGAACCTGGATCATATGATTGTTGTGAAGATTTAATAAAATGTGATATAAAACTACTTTGCATTATCTTATAAATAATAATATTTCTATCATTATTATTATCATTATTATTAAGATCACACAGTGAATTAGTAACTGAACTGGGACTGCTCTTGAGCTTTCCTCCTTCACAATGTAACCCTCATTCTCTAACACATTCTGCTTTTAGGTTCCTCAAAGGCTCTGTGCAATTTAGTTATATTTTCAGAAACATAAATCATCTCTGTCAGGCCTAGCATGTCTAGGCAAACATTCCATTATGGCGATATTAAATTTTAATTTTGGGGAAATGAAACTGTATCCAACAAGAATAACACCCTCATTAGATGAAAATACACTGCCTTTCGAGGTGATGTCAAGAATTGTACTGAGGATATAATCAGCTACTCTAGAATCTTAGAAAGAAACTCTACCAACCACTAGAATTATTCTCAATAATTTATTGCTTCAGAAATAAGTATGATCAGTTTTGAAATGTTTGTATATGAGACTTACTAAAACAAAAACAATAGAAATTTAGAGATTTTTTTTTAACTTGCCTGATATCAGCAAAAGCAAATCATGGTTTATGATTTAAGTCACCAATGGTTATTTTTCTATCTGTTGAGTTTCAACAGCCTTAATATTCACAGTATGAAATTCATTGTGATACAAATGGATGGTTAAGGCAAGCAGAAACACATTTGTTTAATTTTAAAACGTATTTGCTCTTATTTTACACTAGATTTCAGCTCATTAATTTAATACATTTTCTCTACTGCAAGAGGAATCCTTATTAGCATGCTCATAATAACAATAACAAAAAAGCTACACAAAATTGTTTTAGGTCATTTAGTTAAAATTTCCACCAGGTGGCGATCTATCCTCTAAAATACTAGAGAGAATGAGCCAAAATGAATGAAAATTCAATAATTAAAAGAATGTTTGAAAAGTTGAAATAATCAAATACAGATTATTTCATATCTTAAAACATTCAAAATAACATTATAAATTGAATTAAAGTTTAATTATTAAACAGTCTTAATATTTAATTATTACAGTTTTAAGGGTTTTTTTTAACATGGGGGTAAGAAATCTTTTTTAAAAACAATTTTAATAGAGACTTCTTATCGTTGAAAACTAAATAACAAACTTTAGTAACATGTTTTCTTGAATGATGCACATATTCCAAAATATTAGTCATGCATGTAAAGACCAATTAAGGCAAGTCATTAATTATATGAATGTACAGATATTAAGAAAACAATACCTAATTGCTAAGAACTCACACTCTACTAGGAAAAAAATGAAAGCATAAAATATTTATAATATAATTTGATAAGATACCACAATTACGTTTTGTAAGTTCAGTGGGAGAAATTTTTATATTACAAAGTTTTTTGGAGAA